CATGAAGTTGCAAATACAGAGTAATCTCTTCCCTTTTCATTTACTCACTTTTAAGAAAGAGAAACTGAATCATGCATATTACGTAATAAAACTGTTCCTAATTAGTAACATGTTTTGGCAAATCACTGTAAGGCTTGGAGAATATTTTGCTATTTTTTGGTCATGTGGATCCAAAATCAATTATGGATTTAAGCAATGTTATCAAACCCACGAGTTGACTCGCAAACTCATGAGTTTAGGAGTTTGGTCACTATTCATGAGTTCACTAGTTTGCAAACTCGTTTTCTAATAGACTCGGAGTAGACTTGCTCAAACTTGGTTGACTCATAGTAGACTTTTTAAGAATAGGTAAAATTTGTAAACCTTCTTTATTTTGAAAATTTCATTATCTATTGTTGTGTAATTATTTCTAAAATGACATCATTGAAAATTTCGTAGTTATGAACAAGTTTGGAAAATAATTGATGAGAGGTGGAATAATCAGCTTCATAGGCCTTTTGCACGCGGCTACATATTACCTTAACCCTTACTTGCACTACAAACCTAATTTTAGAAATGTTGATGTGGAGGTAAAAGAAGGGTTGTATATTTGCATGAAAAGATTGGTCAAAGATGTTGCAGAAAGGACAAAAATTAATTTGCAAGAACTCACGCGAGTCGTTGGAGGGTTAGTGCGAAACCTTGAACGAAACTCAAAAAGGGAGTCAAGTTTCGGTGAACGAGAATCGGAGGGGGAGGAAGGAGAGCTTGGAAGAAGAATTGGAGGATGACAGAATCGAGCTAGGTGAAACGAAGGGAATTAACCCACTTTCGAAGGTTTGGACCCAATGGGATGGGTCGCGAAGGCGGAATAGTTTTTTGAGATGCAGCGAGTTGCGGAAAGGGAGAAACTGCAACTAGCCTTTATCTGTATGGAAGGCAATGTCAATTATTGTTTTAGATTCTGGAAAACTAAGGTCACAAATCCGTCTTGGGAGGATCTATGAGAAGCATTAGTTTGGAGGTTTGGAGGAAGAGACAAGGAATCGTGTTTGAGAAGCTAGCGGCCATGCAACAAAAGGGCACAGTGGAGGACTATGTCCAAGAATTCGAAATGCTAGTGGCCCAAACGAAAGGGGTGACGGAGGAGCAACTTATGAGATATATTTTCGCAGGGCTACAGAACGACATTCGTAGCCAGATCAGGCTACACAATCCCAAAGAGTTACTAACAACAATGGAAGTGGCATGGGATGTGGAAGAAGTCAACAAGAACCTAAGAACGAGGAATGGGTCGACTAACAAAAACAGTCAACTGTGGGGAAGGTATCAAGGGGGGACAGGGACAGTTGCAATAAGAACCCATCGGAGAGTATAAGTATAGTGAAGGAGGGGAAGGTGGAGCAGCAATGTCCAAGACAGGAAGTAACTCCTTTGGTGAAACGAGAGGCAAAGGGGTAAGAAACTTACCTTACCCAGAGTACATCAAAAGGAGGAAGGACGGAAGATGCTTCCACTGTGGAGGGCTGTATAGTCCAAGACATCAATTTCTTGAGAGGAGTATGCGGGTGACTATACTAGAAGACAAGGAAGAGGAGGAAGTGCAGAAAGAAGAGGAAAAAGAGCAAAAGCACATGGAGCTATCATCTTTTTCCTCAGGGGGTCTCACACAACCTAAGACAATGAAATTACAAGGATGGGTCAATGGAAGGAAGGTGTTAGTTCTGGTAGATAGTGGAGCCAGCCACAACTTTATAGTCTAGAAGATGGTGGCGCCTAATGGAAGAGACACAACCATATAGGGTATGTCTGTGGGATGGACAGAGGAAGAAGACACAGGGCTATTGTAATGGAGTGATGGTGAGCCTGGATGAACTAGAGGTGAAGGAAAGGTTTTATCTGTTTCAACTGGGTGGAGTTGATCTCATTTTGGGTGTTGCTTAGCTACCTACCCTAGGAGAAGTCATGATTAACTAGGGGACTTTGACAGTGGGGTTCAAGCAAGGAGGAAAAGAGGTATTCTGTACCTCAAACTCAAAATGTGAATGACATTTTTCCTCCACCTCTTATCACTTATCAGCCTTAGAGACAATCTCAAACTCAGAACACTAAAGATCCTTAAGACTCAAATCCTCCTCCATTAGATCCCCAGACCATGGATCATTCATCCTCCTCGCCTTCTCTTGACTCAGATGATAATTTACCCATTGCTCTTTGGAAAGGTATTCGCTTTACTTGTAATCCATATACTATTTATAATTTTGAGTTATCATCGTTTGTCTCCTTCCTATTTCTCATTTGTTTCCTCCTTATCCTCCCTTAAGGTTCCTAATAATATTCATGAGGCACTTGACATCCTGGATGGCGACAAGCCATGGTTGATGAAATGCAGGAACTTGAACATAATGGCACTTTGTCCCTCTTCCTTTTGCTAAGAAGCCTGTTAGTTGTAGATAGGTCTATGTTATTAAACTTGGTCCTATTGGTGAAATTGATCGTCTCAAAGTCCGTCTAGTAGTTAAGGGGTATACTCAAGTTTATGGCCTTGAATATTGTGATACTTTTTCTCCTTTGCTAACCAAACCCATGTCAATAAGCTGCAAATTAATTCTTTTCCTTTTTGTAACATCTTTAACCAATTTTCTCATGCATATATACAATCCCTCATTGCAAGATCATTATTTCTAAAATAGGTTCATAGTGCTAGTAGGGTTTAAGGTAATAGGTAGCTGCATGCTAAGACTTGTGAAGCTGATTATTCCACCTCTACTCAATGATTTTCCAAACATGTTCATAGTTATGAAAATACCACCAATTATAATTAGTGAATAAATAGTTTAAATTTAATGTTTTCTTAATATTATTAAAGTTGCTCTTGATCTTCTCTGTAGTGCAATCCATTTCCTTATATATGAAACTCTTTGTGGGTTTTATATTTGAATATACTAATTGAAGGACCACTGTAAGAATTCTAGCAGCTTTCAGACATGATTACATTCTACCAAAATTGGCTATCTGATACAATATTCTCAAGTTTACTCCCCTTTTGTGAAGTTCCAAACTTGCTTGTTTCCCACTCTGGAGCTAAAATAGCCCACAATGATGCTTTCAATTCATAAAGCAAGCTAGAGTAAAATAAGTCATGGCAAATCTAGTCATACGAAACCTTATGAAGTTTCTTCCCTTTTATAAACTATTTCAGCATGCTAATTTGCACTATTCTACCATAAATGCAAGTGGTGATCCTTCTCCTCTTCTTGATAGTAATTTGATGGACCATTGTGGGTTTTATATCTAAATCCGTCAATTGAAGCAACTGAAGCTTACCATGACAAACACATGGCATGCAAATGGAGAAGACACAATGGTTGATCAAAGATTGCGAAACAATGACCGAAGATTGTGAAATAGTGGTGTTTGGAGAAAGACACATGATGGCCTTAGAAGATATGATGTGGTTTTATGAGAAGATGTGATACGATTGTTGATGAAGATATGAGTTGCATAGCAAGAGATCATGAACATGAGAAGGAGATCTCGAGCATGAGAGTCGAATGTCCAATGATAAAAACGAGGTGACTTGTTCACTTGAACATAGTCCCACAAGTCTACTTTGAATTAATTGACTTTTCTCTAAGTTTAATTCAATTCCACCAAAAAACGAGTTTGCACACAAGTCAACTTGGATAAGATGAGTAAACTCATGATTTTGAGTTGACCCTAGAGTTTGATAACCATTGGCTAGAAAAAAAATCATAACTTAAGGTGTGATAGAGCATTAAAGGTTTACGAAAGGAGAAAAAGAAATTAGCGGGAAGGGCTGTTGGCAGTTAGAATAGTATTGTATAGAAGGGGAGGGAATACTATAAATAGGGAATATACTTGTACAGGGGGTCAGTGTTGATTTATGAATTTTTAGACTGGAACATTGTCTAGGGGAGGGATGAAGGCTTCCTTTGGTGTAATTCTTGATTGACTAATTCATTCTTACAGCAATAATATTCATTCTTTTGCTGTCTTTGTGTATGTTTGAGTGAGGGGAGAGTGTCGATATACTTCTTGTACAAAGAAGTCTATCAAGGTGGTTGCAGGTGTGTCATTTTTTTCAAATTTGTAGCTTTTAATCATGACTGAGCTGGCACATACAGGCTTTAGAATTTTAGGTAGAGAAGAAATATAATCAGGTGTGTGATCTTGTCTAACCTTGACGGGAGCCATGACTATCCATTCGTAACTCTTCTACTTGGAAAATGGGTAGTCAAGTCACAGCGTAGATGTCAGCATTTATGATGGAATTTGTCCTCTGACTGGTTAATTATATACTATTAATTCATGGTTTTTCAAACCTATGGCGGGAGTATCAATTGAATAAAAGGCTTCTAAGCTGAAATATACAAAAAAAATTCCCTACACTTTTGAAGAGCTGAGAAAGAAAATGAAAAGCTCAATTAAATTTGTCAGACTTCTGGTCAGATAACAAACCTAAAATAAGCAACTTCCTTTGCTGTCCTTTTGATTGTGTTGTTCCTAGGATTTAGAAGCTCAATTTTTATTCTTTCTTTCATTTAATATATCACAAAAACCATGCATTGGAAGTTCTTGTAAATCTTTTAGTTGCTTGTAATATGTTCCATGTCATTTTTGCATCCCCAAAAGGAAATGGAGTGATGGATGAACTGGGATAGAGTTATGGTTGGATAAATTATGATACAATAGTTTTAGCCATTTAATCTTGCTTTGGGACAATTATTATCTAGTGTTTGTTTGGTTGTACTTATTTTAAGGAAAAATCATTTTTTATTTTTCTCTTCCATCTTCTTGAGAGTTTTCTAAAATATAAAGTGCTTTTTTTTCTCTCTCTAAATAATACCAATACCCAGCCAAACCCATGTCTGTATAATACTCATACTCTAGACACATTATATATGAGATCGACTCAATTTCCTTAAACTGTAACTCATTTTACTGTTCTTCACTTTCTCCCTTCCCTTTCTCCTTTGCCTTGGTCGTTCAAAGAAACTGTCACTCTGGTTCAGCCTAAAGTAGTTTTCTGAAAAGCCTGTAGATAATTCAGTTATATCTTTTTGTAATCTAAATAAATATGAAATATGTCCATGCTGAGGTTTATTCTCTATTTTTTTCTCTTAATTTGTTGGACACACTGTGGGGGGAATTGGTAATGCATCAGCTAACTCATAAGCGCTGAATATTATATATTTTGTACTATGAATATTTGAAATTGCTTTTCTTAATGACACAATAGGCAGACTTTTATGGATTTTCTGGTGGTGGATTCGGACAAGGCAAATGAAACTGAGCGTTGCTGTCTAGAAGAGAGTACAAGTATATTTAAAGGAGTTGAAATCCAAGAGCCTTATGTGGGCATGGAATTTGATTCCGAAGTAGCTGCTAGAAAATTTTATGTTGATTATGCCAGACGGGTTGGATTTGTTGTACGCATAATGCAAAGGCGACGTTCTGGAATTGATGGGAGGACTCTTGCTCGCCGGCTTGGATGTAACAAACAAGGATTCTCACCAAATACCAAGGGGGCATTCGGACCAGAGAAAAAGCCAAGACCTAGTGCCCGTGAAGGTTGCAAGGCCACTATCTTGGTAAAGTTAGAAAAATCTGGAAAATGGGTTGTCACCAGATTTATAAAGGACCACAACCATCCTCTAATTGCTACTGCTAATGGATTCGGCACAGTGGTGAGCTTTCTGCTTGTTTAAATTATTCTGTTTTATTCATTGTGCATTAGGTAACAACTTATTTCATACGATTATCAAGTGATAATATTCTTTTATTTTTAGTTTACCTTTTGGGGGTATGGTATGTGAATTGTGCATGTAAGACCTTTGGAAACTGCTGATAACATTAATTGCTTAATAGTCATTTCAATATATTTTGTTTATATCAGTCAGAATTTGAGACATTGGTGTTCACTAGTTTGTAAGACTTTTTATTTGGATTTTTGCATAAATGGAGTCACAACAACTGTTTTTGCAGAATTGCTAAATTCTATAAATGAGACGAAAATAATGAATTTATCAGGAGTACTTTTCCTGGTGTCTTTTATTTGTAACGACCACTGATTTTGTATTATGTAGGTGGGGAATATATATGAAATTTTTATTAATAGTCAGATTTAGGGAATATCGTATGTGAAGAAGACTTCTAGAAGCACTGATAAGGAGAGTAGAGCAGATGCTAGATAGGGAGGGTAGTCTTAGCACTAGAGGTAAAGGGAGACTGTCAAAAACTATAGGTGAAATCAGAAAGGATATAGAGGGTACTGACTTGTCTACAAAAACATGATTTCCTAGAGCATTATGCATTATTTGATCCAATGATCATATGGCTGACCCCACCTAAGGGAAAAAAGCTTATTGGTTGTAATCAGCAGTAATCAAATATAGACAATTGAATCATGACAGTATCCTTTTTTCCAAAATCTAATGTACTTTATGCACTTGAAAAGGAGGTTATGTTCAATAACAATTGTTGTCTGATACCAAGTTTTTAATTAATTACTTAAGATGGTTGGGTACAAACAAAGTCCCACATTGGGTAAAATAAGAGATAGACATGAATTTATATACACATAAGATACCTCCATTGGTAGGGGGCCTTTTGGAGTGGTACCAAAAGCAAATTCATGAAGGCTTGACCTGAGGCAGACAATATCTTACCAGTGTGGAGATCTTATGTGTGTGTTGAACCTCCCTACAAATGGTATCAGAGTCGATGGTTTGTCTTGGTGACCGGCTCAGACGAGTATATTGATCCCTATACCGAAAGTCTTCCTGGCAAAAGGGTATTCAGGTAAGCGAGTTCCGTTAAGATACAACGGTTGGAAAGGGCTACTCGTGGTATTGGTTAGTTGGGAATGCTTTCGCTAGGGAGGGAGTGTACCTATGTGGGAGGGACTCACCCTTGAGGGGGAGATTGTTGGGTATCCAAGTGTGAGTCCAAGTTACACATTAGATAGAAATAAGAAAGTAGAGATGAAAGACTCATTAACCCATTGCCTTAATGTTTTGGGTAGAGAGTGGTGTCGATCCCTTATATAGTTGGCTTAGATGTTATTGGTGTTTGTGTAACCCACAGGGAACCTCCTCCTCGATAGACTCAACAAAGATGTCATGTTCAGTTCCTAGGCTTTCTGTTCAATTCAACCTTGAGATGACAGTGAAAGAATTAGACATTAGATCAAGCCGGAATTTCTGATTTCAAAGGTGATAGAAATTTTTAAGCAAAGGAAAATGATCTAATTGAAGTCCTGTGATGTATTACCTAGGACAACTTTTCACGAAGATCAATAATGGAAATATTGCCAATAGTATTGGACATGAGCGAGATGATAATTGCAGATCACTTACTAAAAGGTTTTATTTTGTATGAGAAAAGGGTAAAAGGGGAAAATGATGCTGTTGTGACTAATAACTGAATAACTGTTTGTACAGGGGTGGCCAGCTACCTAACAGAATAGTAGCAAGAATATGAGGAGGGAGTTGGGATATATTGGACATGTACTCCGAATATACCTCCAAAGTGTAATTTTTTCATCCTATTGGCTACTGGTTAGCTATAAAAGATTTGTGTTCAATCCTTTCTTGAGTTCTTACCCAAATCTGTGTTGGGTCTTACCAATGACTAGGGACAACCAGCGGTTCTCAGTTAAAGCTAGGCTGCCAGTACCATGTGAACTAAAAGATAGTTTAGAAAGGCCTTGTTCCTGTTGTTTTATTGTGTTGAAAGATCGTGGTTTTTGTATGTGTAGTGAATGTTCATATTTATTGTTGGGGTTAGATGTGCAAGGAGTCAGAGATTGCTCATCTATCTAGTGAACACAGTAACAAAGGAAGGTAAATTGTCAAATAAGAAAGTTAACAAAGCTATACTGCATCTCTCTCCAAATTTCATTATTTAAAAAGCCGAGGATTGAATAATTCTCTTGCAAAGTAATGGATGTAGTTATGGAATTAAAGGTAACATTTGGTGCTTTATTGCAATACAATGGATGCTAAGTAAATATAATTATAAAATTTTTTTCTGTATTTTGGTGCAAAACATATGAACACAACATTTTGTTTCTTTCCTAGTTTTGTTTTGTTGGGTTTGTTTTTTATTTTATCTTCAATGTCCTATTCCAATGGTCCTTGATGTTTGGATCAACACCATTTCAATCTATATATATATATATATATATATATATATATATTTATATATATATATATATATTTATTTATTTATTTTTTTCTCTTCTTGTAGGGTGATAAAGATAAGAAAATTTCAGAACTTACAATGGAGGTGGAACACCAAGATCAACTTTGTCTTGCATATCGAGAAAAACTGCTCAGCTTCATAAAAAATGTTGAGGAGGAGACACGTGAACTATCCACAAAAGTTCAACTCGTTGTTGAAAATGTAAGGAGAGCTGAATCAGAATTGAAAAAATGTTCACAGAACGTAAAGCCTTGGTGCTTAACCTGATTGTATAAATGAGAACGAGTATAGTAAATAATTTCACTACGTACAGGTCTCCTTTATTTTTGCATCGAAATCTGTTAAAGTTCGAAAGAGGACAGGGAAAGATGTGAGTACCATACACCTGTTGCGTTATGCAAGGATTATTGAGGGAATGAAACCGTAAGGCTCCATAGTGATCAAACTTTTGCAGAAGAAATGGAGTAAGCTAGCTACCTATCTATCACTGCATCCTTTGAAAAGGTTCAAAATTTTCCACTTTAGAGTAATGACTATACATTCTATTAGTTAATATCTTTCCTTTTAGGCGTCTTAGAAATCAAGATTTTCATCAAGTCCTTCTTTGGGTCCTACCCAAATTAAAGTAAAACTTCTCTAGCTTTACGGAATAAAGTAATGAATATCATTGTTAGGTTAGGTAAGGGTCAAAACACAAATAAATTATATGCTCAATCTTTTTCTGTTTAGCATTGTTTAAATATTTTAATGTGATTGAGATTTTGCTAACGCCGCAAATGATTAATTAATTGTACGGCTATTTTTCTTAATGATCAGACTGAATTTTAGGCCCTAAAAGTATAATTGGTTTAAAGTAGATGGAAAAACAACACTAAGCTATAGTCCCACTTTCTTCACCATTACTCCTGAAAAACAGCATTCCACCTTTAAAATATATTTATTAGCGAATTTGCGTTAGTTCAGGTGTGGTAAGAGTACTTAAAGAGTTTGTAAATAACTGAATAATTAGTGGAAGCTAAAAATAATTAGCTTACAACTAAAGATCATTAACATGGTATATTTGGTTATAAATGCTTCGCCAAATTCTCCATTGAAGTAATATAAATATCATATGACAAAATTGTTCATATGATGTTTTCATATAGATTTCAAATTTCTTTCATGGATAAAACTATTTTGGAACAATTACAATTATAATTATAAATGAAAGACAAAACTAGATCCAACATAAATCAATAAATAAATAAGTTCTACTTAATTCATTATTTTTTATTCAAATTAAAAAGTTAATTAAATAATAAAATAATTTTAAAAATGTGTAGCACACTTTAAAAAAACTACCAAACCCTACGGACAAAATTGTTATAAATATGAACAATATAAACAATTAAATAACTATATGACAGATTTTGTTGCTATATAATTGTTTAATTAGCAGACAATTTTGAATATGAGAGCAAATATAAAGTTAAAAATTCAATAAGAAAAAAACAGTCAAATCAGAGTTTTAAATTTTTTAAATAAAAGAGTTAAGATTGACCAAAGTAAGATTTAAAATATGAATAAAGATAACCAAGTATGAATGATAACACATTGGAGATTGATCCCACTTGCCTTTCAAATGTAATTTTCTTTTATCAATGTAAACAAGTTCAATCAAATTCAATTGTTCAATTAATTAATGATTTGTGAAATTGATTTTAACTTGATTTCTCGATGATAAAGTAACGAAGATTAATTGGATTCTTTAGTAAGGTTTGTCAAGCATCCAACATTAAAGTAAAGACTTAAAACTAACTTGGTAGGTCTTAACCCATTCTCAGTTATACGTTATAGCATAATTTTTTATCTAGATTTTAAATATTAAAAGGGTTTTTCAACTACAAATAAAATTATGATTTCATATATGAGGCCAAACAAGCAATAAGAAAAAAGTAAAAATAATTAACTAAAAGGATATGCAAACTCTAAAATTGGGGAGGTTTGAATAGAGTTTGAAAACTTTTCGCAATTAGTCCTAGACGCTCTTTGCAGGGTTAGACAGTTTACAAATATTGTTGAAAACTTAAAGATTTCTGAAAGCGTTTAAAAACACAACAAAAGATAGAAAAGATGAAAGCTTGTTTTTATATTGGTTCACTCAACCTGAGTTACGTCCAGTTTTCTTTCACTAGTTGGAAAAAAAAAGTTTCTATGATGACTTATTAAGATAGGTGAAATCCACTTGTCATAATACACTGATCGATGAAATTTTCGTAATAAAAGTAGCATGTATTATGACAGGTAAAAGCCACCTATCATAGTAAATTGAGCACAGTTGCAAAATTGTTATTAGGATAAAAAACTATTGTGACAGGTTTTAGAATACCTATCATAGTAAGACTCTACTATGATTGTTGGTTCCTTACCATTCATAATAGGTGTAAATCCCTAATTACAATCTTCCTTTAGTTCATTTGAAACTTTCAGTTCATTTTCGAAGCACCTCTCTCTTATTTGTTTTCACACACACTCTTGGGAGCCATTGTCTCCACGCTACTGATGCCACACCTCCATGTCGTTGATGCCATCGCTTCCATGCTGTCGATGCCATCGCCTCTCCACATCCTTAATACCGTTGCGTTGTCGTCTTCCACATGCCATGGACGAAACATGCTGCTTTAAGGTAGCGTTTACTGAACTCCACAATATTTTCTATTTCTCCCTTTCAATCACAACAACAGTTTGATTAGGCACGCAATTTTCATTTTGTCCATGATAGTGTTTTAAGAAATAGTAGATACCCTTTTTATTACTGTAGTTTGTGGGAATAGGCACTAATAGTTTCATGTTGGTTATTCCATTTATAGTTTGGGGTTATGGCTTGAAAATGGTAACATTGCGGTTGAAAATTTTATGTCCTTCAAATTGAACAATTGTCAATTGATCATCACACCACATAAGGGAATGATTTGTCTCTTTTTTGTAGAAGCAAAATTTTTTTTCACTTCCTATTGGCACTAACCATCTCCAAGGACGTATAATTTGTTTGATGATATTATTACCTTGCATTATTTTTTTTCCAGTTGATGAGGATTTACCTACATTTTGACTTATTTGGTGTTGGAAATTGCCTAAATAACTTGTTCTTTTCTTTGCAGGTTGGATTATAATTGTATAGGCAGTAACTCCTGTAACCCTTCTATAATCGAGGTTGGTCAGATTCTTTGTTCTTCATTGTTAGTTTCAAAAGTGAGAATTATAAAGGGGGAGGTGTTGAATTTATAGGTGATTCAACACCCTTCCACAATATAAGCATTCGTTGATCCTCAGGCAAATCAAATGGATCAAGAGTCAAGTGTCCATCACGTTTTTCATGGGCTTAGCCATATGTAGGAAGCAAAATAATTGTGCAAAGCTAGAAGCTCCTCGTAGGCCACTAGGCGCAAATCCTCCTTTATTGGGCGCTGGCTGATCCGCAAGCCAAAAAGAAGTCTTCATGTATCATGCACTGAGCGAGCTTCTCCTTGCGCTGAGCGATCAATAACTACCAATTGAGCTGGATATACAAGGCTTTGATGTCCTTTGGTGCTTCCTCATCAAACTTTTCTTACATTCTCTTGATCATCCCTCTTGTAAGAGGTGCCTTAGTCGACCTTATTCCATTAGTTTTCTTCTCTTCATGCAATCTTCTTTACATAAACAACTTCAAGAAAGATTTGTTACTCTTAAGCATCGACTTTGATGTAGAAATGTAGCCTTTTATACGAGGTTATATGTTATGTTACTTTTGCAGAGATATTTGTGCTTTTTGTATGGAATGGATAGACATAAAGTACTGAAGAAGCATTCCCCAAATGTCATCGAATCTTTTATCATTCTTTTGAATCAACACAAAATATTTGAATAAAACATTTGTCCTTTATGGATATGCACATATAAAGAGAAACAATACAATAGACAAAAGTAATATTCATAGATTTGGATTTAAGACGTTAAATTTTAATTATAGCATTTTGCGTAGTCCTTGTACCATAACGTTTATGCTAGTATGTTTATCAAATTGTTAAGAGTAGTCTATATTGTTTGCGTTTAGGATGTAGTTTATATTGTTTGCGTTTAGGATATTATCTAGACATAGATATTTTTAGTGCATTATCCTAGATGGTCATGTTGATAAACATTATTTCATCAAATGCTTTTGTTAAATTTCAAAATAAAGAGTTCCTAAACGATTTTTTCTTAAAATATATATCAAAAGTGCTTAAAATGGTCAAATATTGTTTTCTAATAGAACATATTTAATAAAAGTTTTTTTAGAAAATAATGATCTATATCACATCTAATTTGAGCACGTTGATCTAAAGTGTTATAAAATCAGTTAGATTATATTTAAGATAGACTTTAAGTTATAATTATTCTATTTATTGATCTTAATAGCAAGAAGCTAAACAACTTGAACTCAAACCACTTATTAATCTCAAAATTACTAAGTTTACATCAACATCATTTATATATATATATATATTTTGAAAAATATACCATGATGGAAAAGGTGGTATACTAGTATGTGAGCCGAAAGATATTGAGATAATGGTAATTTGGGATTGTCACTATTAAAATAGCTAGTGTGTGTGTGCATAAATAAAGGGAATAGTATGTGACCAGTGTCCCTTAGCATTAAAGGAGTTATTAATATAAAGTTTGAAAGAATGTGGGGTTATGCTGTTTTTAAGGACATGATGCAAAAGGAAGAGCAAGAATCGAATCTAAAACTTTTTGCATCCAGCAGTTCTATTCTATTAAGTCAATATCATTCACTTGTGAATAAAGTTACTTTCTTTTATATAATAGATGTTCCCATCCCCAAACACTACAGCAAAGTATATTGCTTGAGCATGGAATCGTTCTTTTGAAACATATTATTCTCAATATCTTTGTTTTTCGGTTTGTGGATGAATCTTCATCGTTTCAACTCCATCAATCTTTAGTATTGTCTTCCTAAAAGCTCCATTATTGGATTTTATTCTTTCTTTCATTTTTAATATTAGATTATTGAGATGCAGCATGATATATTTTGTATTGTGTTTTGGTTTTATATTTGTAAAATTATTCTACAATTTTTTTGAAGATTTTTTTGAAACAAGATAAATGATCTTATTAGTGTTAATTTTTGAAAGGTATATCTTATGGAATTGGATCCTATATAAATTTTTAGTTTGGTAGATCCGTAGTTAAAAAAGCCACTCTTTTACGATTAGGATATTCATTCAAAATAAAAATCCAATCTTTGAAATACAGAATACCCCTTTTCGAAAACAATTCCCGAGATGAGAAAATAAAAGATAAAAATGCTTGATAACTTTGTTGAGAATATGTTCCACTATTTGATTCTAGTTTTCTTATTATTTCATGTTATGAAGATTAAAAAAATGTAAGAGAAAGATTATGTTTAAAATCAGATTTTTAATTTCGTAAGATATTTTTGTAATTTTTGAAAAGTTTTGAAGCATAAACTTAGGATCATCTGTTCATTCTGAAAATTATGTTTATTATTAATAGCTAGATTTGAGTAACAATATTAAAGAAAATGAAATATTCGAAAGAAAAATATTAGAGCTTGAGATTCCTTTGGGAGGAAACTAATGGTATTGGAATATGTCATTCAAAACAAGACATTACCACATGGAAAAAATAATTGCCTAATTGTTTTTACCCTAAATATAATATTCCAAATGTTTCCATTAAGTATGTTAATGTAAGAAAAA